AGAAAAGAAGACCCAAGAGCTGCACAAAAGTTAGACATTTTTTGATCCACCAACAAAAAGAAACCCTGCACTTGATTTCCTGAGGTTTGACCAAATTTTTCACAATTAACTGACAGTTTGCCTGGCTCCAGGTTTCCCCAGATCCCTGTAGCTTGCAAGTTAGCTGCTAACTTATGGCCACGTATCTTGACCATAGTCTTTCTGTGTGTGTCACCACCCCAGAGGGTTCTTCCTCCCTGCTCTGGCCAGAACAGGAAGGAAGCCCTGTTGGGCTCACCCTGTGTTTCCCCCCAGTCCTCGCTCCAAATTTCTTCCTGCTGCTTTATTTATTTAACTAGCACTTGTATAGCCACCTTGTCCTCAGCACACTATAAACAGCAACTCATGAATCTTCACAGGGACCCCATGAGGCAGGCATGATAATTATTCCACTTTACAGAGAGAGAAATAGCAAAAAGAGGCAAGAAATGGCCTAAAGTCATTCTACTGGAAAACATACCTGAAAACTGGCAGTCGATCTGGACTATATACCCCTTTGTTCCACTCTGATCCAACATGCCCCGAAGCCTGGAACACACACAACACACACACAGTCACTTTCGCTGCTTTCTCTTCATCAAAGCAAATAACAAGGGAGCTTTGGATTCAAGGGTGGGGTAGGGACTCCATGTCCCTGGGCAGAGCTACACAGCACCGGGGGTCATTCGTACAGCAGTCCACACATGCTTTAAGTCCCGCTCCCAAAATGATTCATTGTTAGCTATTTCTTGTTTTTTTTGAAGACTTATTTTATTTATGCATATAGAACTGGGGTACAGGCCAGAGGTGGGGAGGGTGAGAGGATTCACCAGAGACAGAGTGGGGAGCAGAACAGGCAGATTGAGGAAGTACACTGCTGAGGGGAGCAGCGGGCGGGTCAGGAGAGGTCTGTCACGCCATGTGGTCACCTCTGGGGCTGGGGATTGAATTCACAGTGAAGTGACTGCAGCTGGCTTGTAGTGCTGAGTCCTAACCCACTGCGCCACCAGGGAGGGCCCCTGTTTCTTGGGTTTTATATGTATAGAAACAAACTCTTTGAACTTCATTTCTTTCACCTTCTTCAACACCTTTCTATCTCATCAGCATAGAGCTATTTTAGTGTCCTTAGGGGTGAAGCTCTGCATTCTCATTTTGTTGAGCTATCATTGCTCCCTGACACTCCAATGCCTTTCTCTCAATACTAAATGTTTGCTATGCTAAAAAAAAAAAAATCTTCAGAAATATTTCTTAATTTTCTCCCCTCAGCTCTGACCATTTTCTTTGGAATCAGATGGCCACTGCTCAAGCTGGACCCCTCTCACTTGGCTCCAATAGTCACTCTGGACTAACTTGTCTTGTAGCACTTAATTCACTCAACCACAACTTCCCGTTCATTTTCCATCTGCACCGTGACAGTAACCGGAAGTCTCGAATAGTCATCCAGCCCAACACCTTCATGGTACCTACACAATGCAGGGCCTTGATGAGCTCACCATTAAATTAGCAAATCAGCACTAATGAATGACTGGTTTGACGCAGGTGCACTGCCATGGTATTATGAGCAACAGTATCTGACTACAGGTGACCAGGGACAGGAACTGCACCTTTTTCCTTTCTTCCTTCCAACTTGTGACTCACCTTTTACTGAAAGAATGCCTTCTTTAACAACGCCTGCCTGCCCCCCCCATGCTAATCCCTGTCACACTCTCATCTTCCTGTGAATACCACCTGCCACACGCTATCTTTTCATGAGAGTATTTCTTCTATGTCCTTTAAGTGGTGAAAGGTCCCTGGAAACAAGGCCCCTGCCCTCTTCCCTGTCTTATGAGCACTTGAAATAAAATGATTGTGTAACTGTGTTTTATGTGTGTCGAGTAGGTCAGAAATATTAATCGTTCTGTTATGGTGAGAGGGACTTAAACTGTTCCATTATGACTAGATTTTTTTCTCTCTTCAGTATTCAGAAGTAGACTACTGTCTATTTCTCCTTTCAGTTCTGTCAATTTATACATCATAGAGGTAACAAATTTTGATGCTTTTATTGCTTCACTCCATTAGTATGAAATATCCTAGAACTGTCCAAGATGTATCCTGTCTTAAAAACTGCTTTCTCTGATGTCAAAATAGTTTCATCAACTTTCTTTAGTTCATGTTTGCATGGCATATTTTTTTTCCATCTTTTTACTGCAATATTATTGTGCCTTTATGATATGTCTCTTACAGGCTGTGTATATTTAACTGCTTTTGATTTTTTTAATATTTATACATACAGAACTAGGGTACTGGCCAGAAGTGCAGGGGCAGTAGAAGATTCACCATAGCCAGAGTGGGGAGCAGACAGTCAGATCCACGAAGTACACTGCTGAGGGGAGCAGCGGTCTGCTTGCCATGTGGGTCACCTCTGGGGCTGGGATCAAATTCCCACTGAAGCAGCTGCAGCCAGCTTTGCAGTGATGCGTTTTAACCCACTGTACTACCAGGGAGAGCCTTGACTGCTTGTTAACTAAGAAAATACATTGACAATCTTTGACTTAAAGCTAGAGTATATTTAATGTAGCTATTGGTATAGTTTTAAATCTGTAATTCCCTCTTCCCCTCTTTTAACTAAGCAAGTTCATTGTGGGGTAACTGACATCTCCAAGACCATGGGATTTGTGCAGAAGGCCAGCCTGCAGAATAAGAGGAACTTGATCTTTTTCTTGGTGTATAGGGTGTTGGTGTGACTTATAACATTTGACAATACGGGGGTGTGAGAGACCAAACATTTGAGACAGCCATCTTGTGAAAGTTGTATTTTTGAGTGAATGAGGGAAGGGAAAGCTCAATAATGCTCCCTGACAGCAAAATCAGAGTGGGACAGCCAAGACAGACTGAACCCAGGCAAGTTTCATAGTAGAAAGGAGTTAGAGCAGTGAAGGACCAAGTTCAGGCTGCTCAGGAGTAGGGTACTGAGGTAAGCAGGAAGCACAGGGCAGAGAGAAAAAGAAAAAAGAATGGGGCCCTCCCTGGTGGCGCAGCAGGTTAAAGCACAGCACTGAGACGCTAAAGCCACTTCCGCATGAGTTCGATCCCCGCCTGCCCTGGAGGAAATCCCACACGGCGGCGAGGCAGATCTCTCCTGACCCACCTGCTGCTCCCCTCAGCAGTGTACTTCCTCGATCTGCCTGTTCTGCTCCCCACTCTGTCTCTGGTGAATCCTCTCGCCGCCCCTGCTCCTCTGGCCTGTACCCCAGCTCTGTATGCAAATAAATAAATCATAATAAAATGAAAAGAAAAGAATGGAATCCCTGAAGCACCAAAATCAGAGTGGGCTTTTTCTAGATTTACTATCTGAGCAGGTGTGTTCAACCTCCAGTTCTTTAGCCACAAAGTCCCAGCACTGCTGGCTATTAGGATCTTCTCATCTGAGTCTCAGTCTGTCTAGATCCACACTTCTCCCCTACAAATGTTGCACAAAATAAGCAAGGGTTACCTGAATGGCTCAAACAAAATTTCAGAGATGAGGAGATAAAGAAGGGGATTGCTTGTAGCTGGGATGTTGAGGAATGTGTGGTGGAAAGCAGATGAGCTGGGCTGTTAAAGGGGGAGGTGGGAGGTGGTAGTCTAGGGGGGAGATATTCCAGGTCCCAGTCAGGAGGAAGAGCTGCAGCCAAAGTATGCAGAAGACAGTAGTCTTGAGGATGGAGACATGTTCTGATTTCAAACACAAGATTTAGACTGAGGGTAGCTAGCAGGGTACAAGTCTGGAAGGGCAATGGAGGATGCACTGTCGTGCTCACAAGTGAAGAAGAAAGGACTCCTTTAGGAGGCAAATAAGACATTAGAGCCCCACCCCCCACTTCCAGGGAATTGGGACTATAGAATAGACATGGAAGGAGAAGAAGAGGGCCATCGCACACGGTCACAGATGATAAGCTTGAAGCGCACTTCTGGTGGGGAGGGGAGTGAGGGGCCTGAGGACAGGAGCACCACAGGCCCTGGAAGAGGAGCCCTGCAGATGCCAGACACTGGTGGGTGTGGGGTATAAGTCAAAAAGACCACAGAGTCAGAGCCCTAGTGACCGAGAGAAGTTTGGAACCATTCATAGTACGAAGTACTGGCAGATGGAAATGAGCTACTGCAAAGAGTCACCCAGTATGCCCAGGGCCCAGCTGCCTGGTACTTATCTGGGGACAAGTTTCATAGTAGTAAGGCGTTAGAGCAGTGAGAAACCAAGTTCAGGCTGCTCAGGAGTAGAGGACTGAGGCAAAGTAGGAGGCACAGAGCAGGGAAAAAAAGAAAAGAATGGAAAGAATTTGGAGGCACCCAACTCTGCTCCCCACCCTGTCTTTGGTGGCAAAGGGGTTAACGTCAGCATAGTCAAGCTATTGACAGCCACTGCAGCATGAGTTCGATCCCCGGGCACGGAGCTGACCCACATGGCGCAGCAGACCTCTCCTGTCTCCCCACTGCTCCCCTTAGCAGTGGATTTCAGTAGATCTCCTACTCTGTCTCTGGTGAATCATCTCACCTCTGCCCCCCACACCTCTGACCTGCATAAATAAAAAAAAATCTTCAAAAAATATTGGAGGCAAAAAAAAACCAGAATAGGTTATGACGCTATGTACTTTGCTTAAGGAGGGACATGTCTTCTTCCAATGAAATGCATGACTGAGAAGAATGAATAGTTACTCAATGCTTCTGCTTGTGAAAACAAACAAAAAAGCCTGTGAAATAGCCAGTTATCTGTTTCTCTATCCAAACAGAGTACAGTGCAGTGTACATAAACCCTGCCATAATGGGGCTTTTAGGATGGTTCTTGAACTAGAACCTAATCATTTCTCTTGGAAAAGAGAAATCAAAGTAATATTGTTTTATCGTCAGTAGGTGATTCTTCAGTGGGTCTGGGCTTTGAAAACGCTGCCAATATCAATACTTACTTTGGAGGCCATCGGGATAGAGGAGCTTCTTATAGGCCACAGGAGAGGTGGGAGACGAGAGAAAAGGCAGCGTGCAAGGAGACTCTCCCTCAGAGGCAAGATGACGAAGCTCACGCTGCTCGCCGGTAAGGACCCTGCATCTCTGCTATGAGCCCCTCAGAGCCTGTTACTTTCCTGCCCCTTTAAAACTTCCTTGTGCCACTGAATTCCAACCAAATCAACCAAAATGGTTTTGGGGAAGCTAGAGGAGCACGATTCCTTCCCTGACGATGACTCCCACTGTTCCCTGGAGTCTCCATTCCTGCACCAAACCTCAGAGGTTTGACAACTTAAATGTCTTATGAGTGGGAGTAGACGGGAGTGGGCTTCAGAGGGAAATCTTGAGGCTTGGTCAGCCTCAGTAGGTTGGGAGTCTCCAGTGAGCATTCGATGGACTCGAAGAGTGAAGGGTAGGAAGTTTCCTGCTGCTTACTTGAAGCACTAGCTGCCCCTGTCCAGTTCATGGATGCCTCACCCCAGCTCATTGTCCTCTCTGTTGCTTTAAGGTCTGCTCTTCGTGCTGACCGCTGAGCTAGGTATGTATACGTCTCCCTCCGGCCGCCATATTGTTCTTGGGTTTGGATTCTTCACAATGTGGAAATTCAGCATGGCTCTCTGTCCTTCTTCAAGCAGAGAGTATGCATTTCTTTTTTTAAGAGAGAGCTCAAAAATCCCTGACCAAGTTTAAAAAGGGATGATTGACCAAAAAATCTCAAAGCTGTAACTGCCTAGATGGGGGTCTTAGAAATAAATGTTAGCAAGAAAAAATAACTTGACAAGGCATCTATGCGGTGGCTTCTGCTCTGTTAAATCCTTTAATCAGTCATCTATGAGTCTTCTAAAAAGTTCTCCTATGAGAGGTGGAGAGGAAAGGCATGGCCACCCCATCTAATTGACTGGCCACCACAGACCGACTAGCTGAGGCAGATGAGTGATATCACTTGTCCCAGGAAATACAGATAGTTTTTGGCAGCATCTAAGCAGAAGCCAGGACCCCAGGCATCTAAGGGACGGGTTATTTTCCTCTGAGCAAAATTACAGCCCAGGGAGATAGCGACAGGTGCTGAACAGACTTACACCATCATCATCTCCGTGTTTCTGTTTACAAATGAGTAAAATGGAAATAACTGTATCTACCTTACAGTGTTTTGGTGAGGATTAATGAGTGACTTTAAAGTACTCAGTGTAGTAATTGGTACAGTTAATAACTAAGCATTAGTGATTGTTATTTTAGCATGTAGAGGGGACTAGAGCACATATAAAAAAGCTTATTAGCTTTAAGGTTTAATTTCAGCTAAAGGCACCTATTTCTTTAACTGTCTTAGGGGGACAGCGCTACCTCTAAGATACTTCAGCCCCAAATTGCCAGCTAATTATCAGTTTGTTGAAGTACCCCAATTTCTCATTCCCTTCTCCCCCATCCCTTTGAGACTTTAATAGGAAAGTTATTTGGAAACGCTTGGCTTCCTAAACAAGCTATGGCTTGTATTGTAGGGGCTTTGGTAATAGTGACCCTCACACTCCCTCTGGCTAACAGGCTCAGCCTACCACCTGACATGCTACTTCACCAACTGGGCCCAGTACCGGCCTGGCCTGGGGCGCTTCAAGCCTGATGACATCGACCCTTGCCTCTGTACTCACCTGATCTATGCCTTTGCTGGGATGAGAAATAACGAGATCACCACCATCGAATGGAACGATGTCGAGCTTTACCAAGCTTTCAACGGTCTGAAAAACAAGTAAGTGTTGAAAGAACTGATATTCAAAACCTTCATAAGAACCATTTATATAGGGCCTCCCTGGTGGTTCAAGGAGTTAAGTCTCAGCAGTATGAAGCTATCAGGAGCCACTGAAGAACAAGTTCAATCTCTGGCCATGGAGTCAACTCACATGGCACAGACCTCTCCTGTTTCTCCCACTGCTCCCCTCAGCAATATCAATCTGCCTGTTCTGCTTCCTACTCTGTCTCACACACCTCTCATCCCGACACCTCTCATCCCCACACCTCTATCTAGCCTATGGCCCAGCTCTGTGGGCATAAATAAACAATGTATTTTTTTTT